GAGAGAGAGAGAGAGAGAGAGAGAGAGAGAGAGAGAGAGAGAGAGAGAGGGGGGGGGGATGCACTTCACCAAGGCGTTCCATGTAAAGAAAAAAAGCACAGCCACGGGAGACAGCGAGGGAAAAGACAGAAAAATGTCGGCACTTCCTCGGTCGCCACTATCCCCATCCTGGCCAATGAAATCTCGACCTATCATCCTCGTGATCACACATCCTGACGCTCTGTCTTCCCCCTTCTCCTGCTTCTCCAGAGCCTCCAGATTTCTATGGCCACCTTCTCCTCTCACTGTTCCTCTATTTGTGCGTGGAGGCCTCTCACTTTCTCCTCGCTGCCTGATCAGGCACCTGACCTCCCCCCTGTGCTCCTTCTCCCCCTGCCTCTTGATCAAGCACCTGACCTCCCCCTTGTGTTCCTTCACCCCTTGCCTCTCCGCAGTTCACGGCATGATCCTCGCCTAGCCCGTCCAAAAAAGAATGTCAGGAACACAATGGAAAAACCAGGAGCTTGAATGGGCCTAGCTCAGCTAGTACACCCGTGAACTGGTGCGATTGAGACCTGAGTTCGAATCCAAAAATAAGGAGGATCAGGAATTCATTTATCTAGTTCAATCTGGACTCTAACTCAGGTCTGCATCCCAACAGCCCATGGTGTAAGAACTGACCACGCGGCGCCACTTGCCAAGCACCAACATTTTTGAATGCATCCGGCTGATGTAAGGTCCCCATACATTCCACATGTTGGGGTTTGGTGAGTGGTGCTGCAAGGGCCCAAGGTGTGCAGCATGAAATGGAATTCCCGACAAAGAAAAGAAAACAACAGCTATTGAGGCAGTGGAGACGGGCCAGACGGCCAACGAAAGAAAACAGCCGCCGGAGCCCTGCCAGGAAAACAAGACAAAGCAAGCAGCTGACACACAGCTCCTCTCAATTCACAGAACGGACACACGCCCGGCTGTGATTCAGGCAAAGACAAAGCATTTTTCTTCTTTAGTTCTGTTTTCCTTTCACATCGGGCAGCGCAAACCAATGAAACCGCACGACCGAGGTGAAGTTCCGCTGTGACATACTGGCACAATTTTACGTCTGATGTCTGACAGTCGTCCATCGCTCAACCAAGTGCTATCACGGGGAAATCACAACATGGCGCCCATGTGGGGTGTGGCGGGAGGTTGAGATACAAACACAGCCGCCAGATGAAAATCCGATGGCCGAAACATACCAGTCGGGGCCACACATACAGCCAGCGACTGGAAAGCTTTATGTTATTGAGGGATTGTGGCACTCACCCGTGGACACATTAGGACCAGAAGCCACGTCACAGACAGCACACCGAAAATGATTCAAAACTGAGGCACATAACAAAAGCACACGACACGTAAACCGAAATCGAAGGAGGACATACTCCGACAACCGCTGTTCCAAAACCTATTAGGGCTCTGTATATTCACGAACGTGCCTCCGCCAGAATGCACCAGTGCAATGACTTGCTGATTTGGCTGCTGGGATCTGACTGCGAGGCTGTACAGTAACAGCGGTAGGGTTAGATTTGTAATTTTGTTTGCGTCAAGGACTAACCGCTTGTTCAGTCTAGGGGGAAATTCGTGAGGGACATATCTGTAAATTTTGGGAAAATTACAGGCCCCAAGTAGACTCGAATTTCCTGTAGTCTCCTACTGCAGTCTAGCAGACCCGGACTATCACTAGGACCGGAGGCCGTCGCGGCCTTGGCCCGTAGCAGCGGTCCTATAGCCTATAGCCGGGTAGGGAGAGGCCGAGAGGTCAAAACTGAAATGGTACCGGTCAGTCCAGTTAGGTCTAGGTCTAAGTCTAGGCTAGAACTATCAATAGAGGGAGGTTGGTCTAGGGAGGACTTTTGGCAATTCGTTTCTTCGTCAGTACGACGGAGTTGGGCCAGGCAAGGAAGGTGACGATTGACTTCAGGCATGGCATCCTAAGTCCCTCGTCAGTGACAATAGCCATAGCCAGACTGTTGGAGCTTGCCATAGCTGGGGCGTTCTCTGAGCACTCACCCTTGAGGGTGATTGCGACTCTCTAGGCTATTAGGAGGCTCTACATAGTGGTTTGTGGGCGGACGACTGCTGCTGCTACTTCGTCAGGGTTACCTGCGTGGCAGAGACAGTGGTGCTGCAGCCATAGCTGCAGCTTTCATCGTCAGAGTTCCTACATTGGCATTGAGAACTTCATCGCTGGTCTTGTTCTGCATCTTGGTGGTTGGCGCTGGCCTCAGGGAGGCTCATCTAGGGTAGCGCAACTAACTGGGTGTGAGTGTGAGAGTGGAGTGTGGAGTTCAGTGGTGGCGAGATACTGTGACAAACTCTGGGACGATTAAGATTGGCTCAAACTTGGTTAAGTTCTTTTGTTATCCTCGCCAGTGTCTTCTTGTGATTGGTTGTTGGGAGTATTGTCAGAGAGTGAGAAACACTGTGTGTTATTTCCACACCTGCATGTAACTGTTTTCCGCTTTCTACTCTGTCCGTGTGCAGTGTGTACTCTGTCTCCTCTCCCCTTCTTCTTGTGCATGTATGGGCATGTGTGAGATCGTCTGAGTGCGAGTGTTGATTACATTCGACAGACAACCAAAATCATAACACCAGGACTTGCCATCTGGGTTCAGATCACGTCCGGTGCTGCCTCAACATTGAGGTGCATTTCAAAAGAGGCACTTGTGGGAGTACGGCACAGGACAGATAACGAATCCTGTTGATCTTTCTATACCAAGTCCACTGAGTACTCACTTACTCAGTCGCTCATCACTGCCACATAAATGTTCGGTATACAATAGGAGAGAGGTAGATTCCCCTTGCATGCTAAGCTTTGCTGAAACCCCATCGCGGCACATGTTCATTACCTTTGGCTAGCAACGCCAGCCATTTCGGTCCGGTAGGCCCCAAGCGACCAAAATTTTCAGTTTGGCTCAATTTTGATTCTCAAGTTTGCCTGGGCAATCTGCTGTCGGTCGTAAGTATGCAGCCGAAACGAATGCTGGATGCAATCGGCTGAAGATGACCTGAGCCTAGGAAACTGCGTTGACCTCAAGAGTGTTGTGGAATGAGATGAAAAACACGCTAACAAGGTAATCATGAGCAGGGGTCACCTCGACCAATAACTCACCTCCCATTTGTCAACACCATAAGTCTCAGCAAAATTCAGCGCACGGGCTAATACAACTCCCGTATCGCCTGTCAAAGGCCCTGCGACCAGTGATAGAATCTGGCCAGAAATGTATTCCGTGTCCCCAGTCGCGAACCGTCCAACGGCAATGTCTGGGATCAGATCCTGAAGACTGAGCGCGTCCTTGATTGCCCTAAGTTTCCCCAGGGTTGCCTTCACCTTTGGCAACCAATCAATACCCTCTGAGTCGGACAGGCCAACGTCCTCCGCTGCATGCACCACCCTTTCCGCCAGCTGTGTAGCAGAGCAACTCAGGATGCTTCGCACCTCCTTGGCATTGTCGACTCTAGCAACCTGAGCTTGCACTGAGCAGTAGTACAGGATCATAAGGAGGAGGCGATGGAGGTTGTCGTAATCAGTGCGGCTCTCTACTTGTTCTTCCAGAACAGAGACCACGCCTTCTCTGGGCTCCACCGCCAGGAGGTAGCTAAGTCCAAGCTCATCCCATACTCGCCCTCCACACATGTCGATTAACCGCCGTCCCACCTCCACCAAAATTGCTTCGTCCACACTCGCCTCCAAGTTGACAAGCCAATGAGCCGCCATAGCCAGCGCCTCCATTCCCACATCGACTCTTTCCTCACTACCTCCGCAAGTTTTCCTTATGTCCATAAGCCAGAGCAGCTCGTTGGTCGCAAATTTGGCAACACTCCTTGGAACAGGCTTGTCGTCTGGCATGCGATTGCCATCTACACAGATACCTAAGGTAGAAAGAGCAACTCGTCCCCGATCCCACAAGTCCGCAGTCGCGTCCTCAACCTTGCAATCTCCATCACCCTCTGGTTCGTTGTCATGCAGTCCGATGGCTCTCCTCAACACACCGTATTCCTCCTTCAAATCCATTTCCTTCCAGGCTGCCATCAAGTCAGCGACAGAATCCTCGTCACAATGGCACAGTGAAAATCCAAGCATGGACCGGGCGGATTCGAGGTCCAGCTTTGCACCGCCAGATCCTCTCGCGAGAGCTCCACAGAGGTCCCAAATCTCGGAATACCCTGCCATAATAAGCTGCATACACACCGACTGGGCCGTCCCAACGTCGCCACATGAGGCCGCCTGCCTTGCAACTGCTGCCTCGACTGCCAGTCTATCCATTGCCGACTTCAAGCCTAGCAGACTCGCCAATTTCTTCACTTCGTCCATCCTTTGATACGCCGTCGGATCCGTTGCGAGGGCCAAGTGCACGAGTTCCATGCGGTCACTCACTTCTCGCACTTCGTAAGGCAACAACTTCACACCCATCTCTGGTAACTTGATTGATACTGCATTGATCAGGTCAAGCTCCGACTTCACCAATTCGCTGTCTTGTGAAAGCAACTGCAGACATTGCCTTGCCTTGGCAACCTTCGGAAGTAGACCACAACCAACACACACCGCATATCAGCCACAGCGCATGGTCTGCATTGACAGAAACATGGAGAGATAAACGTTTCTGCATCTACAAGGGCCTTCCCATGCGGACAGTATGGCGCAATGAGCACAAAGAGATCTACATAGCATCGTTCACAAATAGCACTGGTAGTGCAGTTTATGGATTACGGCAAACAGTTGATAACTCTCGCCATCTGAAGTTATCTGAATACTAGGATGCGGATAAGATTGAGGCTCAACATCATATTCATCTCGTGCAGGCCAAGCTATCATTGCGTTCACACATATCTTCCCTACCGAGCAACAATTTTGACCTAGGACCATTGTAGACTTTATATTTTGTTCTCATTTTTATTTTTCGTACATTTTGTTTGTCTGTTCAGCAATGCTTTATGTTTATTTCTGTTTGGACTGTTATTCTTACAGAAACTTCCTGCGTTCTGAGTTCGTCTGTACCTGGACAGGCACACATTTTGTCCTACTCCCTTCAGAGTTACTCTGACCTGTTACCTGAATTGACATCAGAGGCTTAAAAGTTGAAACACAACCTTTTGCCGATCAGTACTCTCATCCAGAGAGAGAGAGAGAGAGAGAGAGAGAGAGAGAGAGAGAGAGAGAGAGAGAGAGAGAGAG